AAGGTTTGGTGAATTATGGAAATTCTTGTTGATTAAGATGAATTATAATAGATTGAATCCTCACCTTAACTTTAATGAATACTCCTTTCGATTTGAGCTTTAATTTTCTTAACCCTCCATTTTTTCTTCGAGTTATGATTTTTTTAGAGAAACACATCCCTCACCTATGTTTTATTGTCCTATTGAAACATTTCACAATGGATCCCTAGTTTTGTATAAAACAACTCTACTGCATATTCGAAAATGCATGATATATTACCCTGTCTAATAAAACTCATGTTTCTAGGGTGCATGCATGGACATCATTCAAAATTATATGCAATCAACAAAACAAAAACAATAAACAAACAACAAAATATGAATGCATGGTTCTAAATAAGATAATAAGATTGTAAAGGGTGTGTTCAGAGAATTCCCTTGTCTTTAGACATCATGAATTTTTTTTGGGGCAACTTGAAAATACTGTTATTGTAAATCTGATATCAATCTAGCTGTTGGTGCTGCTGCTTCAAGTCTGCTGCAACATGTGAATTATGATGTTTAGCAACCCTTTTCTTACCATTTCAAGCTTACCCGAGAATGCATAAGGATTATTTTCTTTTTATTTCTCTTTTCCATACGAATTTCTTTCCTCAGAGGGATTAGAAAATCTTTTAGGATGTCTTAAACAATTTCTTCGATGGTGTCGCCTTGACATGTAGTTGGATGAGAAAGTGTACAACATTTAAATAAAATAAAATCACATGCAAATAAAAATGAACAAGACAACTATGTGGCCACGTGCACTACAAGAGAATAATATTTCTCATCAATCACATCCTAGCATGCACTAAGTGTAATTAGTCTCCTGTATACGCTTAAATTAACATTTCTAACGACATCTAAATCTCCCTAATTCATGTACAAAAATTAGCTAACTTCCTTGGGGCATGCAAGTCATTCAAAAAAAAGAAAAAAAAAAATCTAAAAAACTATTATTACAAGGAAAGTGAAGATAACTATGTAAGTGCATAAATAAAATAGGGAAGAAAAACTAACTTGGTTTACTTAGATATTCATATATTTGTTTGCAAATTGTGACTAACTCCCTCCTCTTTTTATTTTTTTTAGCTATCTATTGTCCAATAAATGATGCCCCTTTGAATCTCTCAATCCTTTAGTGGGTGGGAATAATTTTGTGAAGTCTATCTCCCATATATCAAATAGTTATTCTTCTAAGATGTAGTTCAAGGGTGTGTAATCAATAGATAACTTTAGTGATGAATTTATTCTTTTCTCTAATTCCAGTGATTCAAGAACTCTTACGAGTTCTCCAATTCTGCTTGCTGTGTAGCGCAATTATTGTAGTTGTTGTCTTCTTCTTGTTGCTGTTTCAACTATCAGCGGTTGAATTCTCTGTCAATTTATAAATTGTGTGAGCATTCCTCTACTACTGCGGATATTTCATGTTGTTTTTTATATTAAATTCTAATTGTTGATCATTCATTCTCAACATTATAGTTCCCTTGTGGACGTCTACCAATATTTTTTTGGTTTTCAAAAATGGTCTCCCCAAGATAATTGATACATCATGGTCCGCTTCATAATCCAAAATGATAAAATCTACTGAAAAATTAACTTGTCCACTTGAATTAGGATGTCTATAATTTTACCTTCTGGATAAGTGAAAGATCGGTCTGCTAGTTGAAGAGTGACTGTAGTTGGTGTAGCTTAACCCATACCCAACTTTTTGTGAATAGATAGCAACATTAGATTAATGCTTGATCCCAAATCACAAAATGCTTGACATAACTTCTTCCCTTCTATTGATATTGGAATTGTAAATGAGCCGGAATCTTGTTTTTCAGTATTGCACTACACTCTTCATTCAATGGTACTACCTATGAATTTCTTTAAATATATCCATGAACTTCTCAAAGTGGACTTCTTCATTGTTACTTTTTATTCTTTGTGAAAAAGATGTATGTTCTGTTTTCTTGTTCACTGCTGACTGCTGTTTGCGTTTTAGGAGGCTTCATAGTTTCTGCATAATTTTTGTTGTGTCTTTTATGTACGACAGCTTCTGCATAATTTTTGATGTGCTCTTCCTACACAGCAGCTTCCTCCTTTTTCTGCTGTGTATCAGCAACTTCTTTAGAGTGACTATCATTGTGTTCTTTAAGTTTTTCTCCTCTGCTGGGTACTTCTTTCCTACTTCTTAATTCTATTGCTTGACATTGCTCCATGCCCTTTCTTTTTGGCATTTCGGTGTCTGTTGACAGCTTACCAAGAGGTCTATTTTGTAACTCATTTGCTAATTGACCTACTTGAACTTCCAAATTTCTCAAGGATGCTTGCTGACTTTATATCACAATATCATTTTTAGCCATATATTTCTTTATTAGGCTCTCAAGCAATGTTCCCGGTATGTGTTGAGCTTGACTAGTTCCTTTCCCTTGGGTGTTGACTTGTTGAGGACTATATGTCAATTGATTTTGTAATCCAAGACCTAGAGGATAAATCTTTTTAGGTGACATTTGTTGGTTGTATGAGCCTTGTCCATTCTATGAGAAGTTTGGATGATTTCTTCACCCTGGATTATAAGTATTTGAGAAGGGATTATTTTTTGGGTTGCCTTGACTAGCTTGATTCCCCACAAAAAAAATTGAGACCAGATTGCTTGGACATTGATGAAAAGTGTGTTCCTCTCCACAATATACACAAAATTCAGCTGTTGACTGGGTCATTACAGCAGTTGTATGGACTTGTGCTTTGGTCATTGAGCCTTGTCCGAATGCTAGATTTTGTAAAATATTAGGCACCGAAGCTAGTTGAGCGTTGATAGAGGACAAAGTATCAACTTCAAGTACTCCTTGGGTCTTCTTTCCTGAATTACTTCTCACATCGGCCTATTGACAATTGTTAGATGCTATTCTCTTTAAAATCTCATATGCTTCATTGTATGTCTTTGACAAAATAGTTCCATGGGCGGAAACATCAACTACTTGTTTGGTGACAATATTTAATCCATTGTAGAAAGTCTCCATTTGTATGTAATTCATGCGGAGGACACTTTCTAAGCATTTGCTTAAATATTTCCCAAGATTCACTTAATGTCTCATCTTCAAAAGGTTGAAAAGCAACAATCTCATTTCTAAACCGTGCGTTTCTAGCGGGTGAAAAATACTTGAGCAAATTTTTTTTCTTTTAGACTATTCCAAGAATCAATTGTTCTCGTTGCTAAAATATTCAACCATGATTTAGCACGGTCCCTCAAAGAATAAGGGAATTGCTCAATGGTTTGCAACATTTGAAACATCACGGGCTTTATCTCAAAAGTGGTTGCGTTTCTAGTGGGTGGAAAATACTTGAGCAAAATTTTTTCTGTTAGACTATTCCAAGAATCAATTGTTATCGGTGCTAAAATATTCAACCATGATTTAGCACCATCCCTCAAAGAATAAGGGAATTGCTCAATGGTTTGCCACATTTGAAACATCATGGGCTTTATTTCAAAAGTGGTTGCTTGCATTTTTGGTCTTATAATGCACAAATTTAGCTCTTCCACAGCGGGTGTGCATATGCTCGAATTGCTCTTTCTCAATCATCTGCTAAATGAATGACTATAGCAGTAATTCTCTCTTGATTAGCCATCACATGCTCAAAGTTCTATTTGCTATATATTTTGTTATGTCATTTTCTTTTTCTCCCTCAACCTTCGTCTAAAGGTTCTCTTTATTTTCGGATCCAAAATTAATTACAAACCCATAGGTGGGTTCATGCATACCGCAGAAAATTCTGCAGCAGTAAAGTTCATGCAAAAGATTTCATGGTGGAGAGAATGTTGGAGTCTCCAATCAAGAAGACAATCAGAAGATGATCTCCTACGCAACTTGCTTGAACATTTCTTCTGCCACCATTGCGCCCCGAATCCATCGCAACTTCCATACGCATGCATCGTCAAAAGAACTCATTTTAAATAACAACTCTCAAAAATTAACTCGATAAGATTTCATTAGAGTTTGTTTTCGTTTCTCATTTCTTGTTTTTGTTCTTTAAGTTTCCATTTTTGTTAAAGAATACAAAAATATACAAAATATTCGAAGAACAAAATCTTTGATCAAATCAAGAAAGAATTTTGGTTTTTCCTTTCGAGCTTCCCCTCAAGGTTTTAAAATGCATCTAATAGGAAGAGATTTTCATACACTTATAAGGAATGTTTCGTTCTCCTCTCCAACAAGCGTGAGATCTTACACTAAAATTCAAACCTTGTAAAGGAAAAAAATGAAAAACAAAGATACATAGAGAGGTCGCACTTACATGGGCTTGAATCATAAAGAACATGCGATGGAAATCCGAGGAGATATGAGCCGAAACAACCTCAATCTGATGCTTATCAAGAACATAACAAACGGCGGTGAACAAACCAGGCTTCTTGCCGGAGCAGATGCAGAAATGGGTGTTGCCGCCACAGACCTTTAATTCGAGGTTGGAGGAAGTCCAAGTCTGAAACGCCGTAGTAATACCAGAGAAGGAAGGCGATGGTGGTGGTGGAAGAAGAGTGGAGGACAAGTCGTTGGAGGAGGAAGCTTGGTTGGCCAAGAAAGCCTCGGTTGTGGTGGTTGAACTAGATTGTTGTGCTATTGTTGAGGGTCATAATGAACAACCTTGTAGCTCACAGCTAGATTGTTGTTTTGGAGCTTTTCGAGGTTTTCGTGCTTTTGCTTGTGGAGTTTGTTGTAGGGTTTTTATGTAGGAGATTGAAGCTTTGGGGGAAAAAAGGTTTAGAATATTCGTTAGTTTCCAACAAAAAGGAAGGTTAAGCTTTTGAAATGAGGAAACGTTTTACAATTTGATAGAGTAGCAATTTTGTCCATGGTTCTCGTCACGACCCGATTTTTTAGGCTTCGAAACTCGGACCAGGACCCAAAAGACAAAATCAAAAACAAACAAAAAGAAAGAGAAAAGAAGAGTAAAAGATTAAAAACGAAAATCTAATAAAATCAAAATAGAAGGAGAAGTGTAAGTTTCAAATGTTTGAAAAGAGGATTCAAATTTACAAAATAAGAGAAAATACAAATTCAGAGGAAAATTTACAAAAGACTAAAAAAAATCGAAAAGAGAATGACCCTCTAGAACAACCCCCCCTGTGGCTGTACAGCTCTCGAATGCTTCTTTACCTCGACCGACAGTCTACGAACACCTGAAAAAAAAAATAGGAAAAATGGGATGAGTATAAAAATTATACTAAGTAAGCTACCTACTTGACGTCTGGTTCTAATCTTAGTTCATTTGGGGCTCGCCCCTTGGGACTTGCTCTTTGGAGCTTCACTGGATCTCTGTCCTTTCATTTGATACCTAAGAGTTGCTTATGCTAAGCTGGACTAACCGGTATCTCTCTACGAGGTGCTACCCTTACATGGCTAATTGAGACTACATGGTATCTTGCCTAGGGGTTTGCTGAATACCTCATAAGCCTGTAATAGTCCCCCTGGGGGGCGCAACCCAATCCGTTCCCATATAGCTAATGGACTATACTATGTGGGGACACATTTCCCATGCGAAACGACTAGGAGCAATAAGAACTGATTAGGACCTCTAGTCCTCCCACTAAACTACAGACATAGATCAGACAACTAGCAGTCTAAGAACACTCATAAGGTACTTCTTCGTTGTGGTAATTTGTTAGGTTCCTAGAAGAAGGTTGTATCTAGACTTAGTGACTTGTCACTCCTAACTACAATTCCCTGGGCTTAACATAGTAATGGGTTATGGAAAATAACAGAGTGTGCATGCAATCGTCGTCTAATATTATCATATATAATTCATGCAAATTAGATGTGCATACTCCATGGAGTGATGGCATCCATCATACACCCGGAAAGCGGAGTTTGCGCTCAACAGGGCAAGGTTATTCCTCAAGTGCCCGAAACGTTGAGTTTACTATTTCAACATGAATTAAACATATGCATACATATAACGGAAGATTAAAGCAGACAAGCAACACCCAGATAATTTACCCAATACGCTCATAAAAAAAATTAATCTGCCTAATCTCATTCATGGAAAACTAATCTAATGCAAATGTACTAGTATGCATGAATTCCAAGCGAATCCTACAAGTATTTCTTCCTAAATACCGGGTGGTGACTTACTTTGTTGATGTGTGCCCCTTCGCTAGCGTTTCCATGCCCGTAAAGTGTCTAAAAATATTGATTTTCCCCAATTAGGTCCCTATTCGCATAAAAACATCGGGCAGAAATCGGGCAAACAAAAGTTTGACGGACGGAAAACAGAAACTCACACGCTCCCACGTGTTGCCACGCGTCCTCACACGCCGCCACCATGAACCCAAACGAAGTCTAGTCGCAAGTGTCACGTGCGGGTTGGATTCTGCAATCGTACTTCACTAGGGCGGTTTGACACGTGACTTGTCGAAAATTTTTCTCTCTCCTCCGTTTTTGGAAATCGGCTCGAATCTTCACCTTCGGACCAGAGCTGGTTTCCTTCATGAATCTTGTGGAGAATTCCCTCTAGATGAGCATGTCAAAATTTCAGACCTTGATTCACAACAGAGAGTTCTAGATTTGAGAAAAATGATCAAGATCTTACCTTGCCGATTTTCTCGATCTCGTGATGGAAAACGGGACTCCGAATACCAACATCTTCTTCTTCCTTCCAAGAAGTCCTTGTCATTAGATCGTGGCTGGCAACTTTCAGCTGTGGTCCGATGAGTTTTCTGATGGTTCTTTCTTTCTTCTCTCTAGGTTTTCTCTCAAAACTCTCTTCCTCTCTTTTCCTCTTTTGTCACACAATTGCTAGGGTTCCATTTGGACCCCTTTAGTGGCTAGAGGGGCAAAATTACCCATTTGGACCCCTTTAGTTGATAATAACACACAAAATTACCCATTTGGACCTCTTTAGTTGATAATAACACACCACAACTCTCTCAAAGAGTAATTTACAAGGACACTCACAACTATTTTCTCACAGTACAATAATAATCACTCTCAAGAATAAGATGAAGAGAAATAAATTGTAAGCTTGGAGAGAGCAACAAACAATGGAAACTTTGAACAAATGAGGATTGGAGAATGTATGTAAGTAGTGTATTTTAAAAAGTGGGGGAAGATGAGATTATATAAAGGAGAAAAGTGGCAAAATGTACGAATTAATATTGACCATTGGATTGGATGGTGTTAGGAATAATGGAAGGTGGAGATCAAAAGTAAATAAATAAGAAAATTTTTGAAATTCATTTATTTAAAATTTTTAATATAATAATAATAAAAATTTATGTGAGTAACGATCAAACGAAAATTCAAAATTTATTATAAATATAATAATATAATAATAATAAAAACGATGTGAGTAACTACCAAAATTTTAAAATATAATAATATAATATAGTAATAATAAAAATCGGTGTAAGTAACTGTTAGATTCAAATTTATATTTTGTAAAAATAATTTTATTTAGAAATAAGAAAAACTCCACCATTGGTTACTCTTCCAACATTATAAATTTGATATATTTTGATTTGTCCATCATTTTGATTTTGCTGCCACATCATCACGTCGGGTATATTGCCTCGACTCTAATTTCTTCGTTTTAGCTTTGATTTGAGTAATTGAAAAGTCGTTGTAATCGTTATTCCCGACCTTATATTGTGGATAGTTCAAAATACTGAAAATAGTTAATAATTAGAAGTAGATTTGTTATCATCAAAACATCAATCAATTAATTTATTGAAATTAGTTAAAGTGAGATCAAAGGCAAAGCCAACATAATTGTCCAAGCATTGGTAAAGTTTCACATCTTCCACTAGGGTAGATAAAACTCAAACAAGTTTTCAACATACCACTAAGTAGAAGTTCAACTATAAAGTTTTCGATCCTCAGAGCTTGAAAGATTGTCATTACATGTTAAAATATCATGATTAGCTCGATAAGGTCAAACTCGTATAAGTCCATTGTCTACTCATTTTAGGAAAATGATTTACGTATTTTAGAAATAAATGATTAGATATTTTAGGAATAAATTATCTAGCCTCTCCTATAAACACCCCTCCACCTGACCAAGGTTTTCATCCCAAAAAATCACAGACAGTCTCAAGTAGAGCCAAGTGAAGTAGTATTCTATAGAATACCTTGTAAGCTCTTCTCAAGAGTGTCTTGTAATATCTTCTTGATTGGTGTTAATAAATAGTGTGAATGTTTCCCACAAAGAGTTATGTTCATCAATCCAGTATGAGAGCGAGGTTTGTGTGGGTTGTCTGATCTCTTAGAATTTTTAGTATGCTCTGTGGTTGCAGTTATGTCTAATCTTCTACATCGAACACAATTTCTTGAGATTATTAGTGTTTGAGTTTCTTTGTGTCATGAGTAGTCCGTGACTCTGTAAGTTTTATGTTGAAAAAAGCTCGTTTGGTATTACTGAGGTATAACTAAAACGATGAGTGATTTCAAAATCGTTGGAGGAATCAAGAAACTCAAAAACTACAACACGGGGGCAACATGCATGATGTCTTATTTATAAGAACATGACCTTTGGGAAGTCGTTGGCAAGAGTGAAACTACGCCGTCAGAGGAGGATTCTAATGGCGCCTTGCGCAAAGGGAGAATCAAAGTAGGCAAAACAATATTTATCTTGAAAACCACAATCGAAGAAGAGATCTTAGAACACATTTGGGATGACAAGACATCAAAAGAAGCATGAGACACGTTCGTGATGTTTTTCTCAAAAAAGAATGATACGAGACTACAACTTTTGAGAACGAGCTATTATCAATTTCACAACGTGACATGACGATTGTTTAGTACTTCCATAGGGTCAAGTCGATATGTTTGGATATTACTGAACTAGACCTGAAGTTCATCATTGGAGACGCTCGAATGAAGAGGATAAATATCCACGGATTGCGACTAGAGTATAGATGCTTCGCTATTGCTGTACAAGGATAGTCTGCTCAACCATCATTTGTAGAGTTTGAAAATTGTTTAGGCAGCCAAGAAGTCATGGCTAAGCAAATGGAAGGCATCACGTTGAAGATTGAAGAAGAAACACTCTACTCAACTAAAAGTGGGAACAACAATAAGCCACATGAATACAAAAAATGGTGACAAAGGAAGAAACCACTAAGAAACTACACAACCTTGGAAAGCTTAGAAGAACAACCAAAAGAGTTTTCAAGGGAAGAGATTTGAAGGTATTTGCTACAATTGCAGGAAGAAGGGTCACACGTCCAGGTATTATTGGTCGAGGAAAAAGTCTATTGAAAGCAATGTGGCAACCTCCGAAAAAGAGATGGAGGATGAATGAGATGTAGAGATACTATGTGTCATAGAAGAAGATGAGCTAGCGCTCATGGTGATGATGAGAGAGCATATCGATTATGAGCGCTCATAGTATAGAAGATGAAGTTAAAAGAGTCAATACTAGTGATGGGAGAAGTGTTAAAATATCATCACTAGCGCATAGAGTCAAACTCAAAAATTGTATAAGCTCATTTGTCTATATATTTTAGGAAAATGATTTAGATATTTTAGGAATAAATATATTTAGATGTTTAGAAAAATGGTTTAGGTATTTTAGAAATAATATTACCTAGATATTTTAGTAAAATTATTTAGGTATTCGAGTAATATATTGTCTAGTCACGCTTATTAACAACCCTCCACCCTACGAAGGTTTTCATCTCATGAAATCCTCCCTCAAGTAGAGCAAAGTGTAGTAGTATTCTATAGAGGATGTTAACAAAAAGTGCGAGTATTTCCAATAAAGAGTTGTGCTTAACATTACAATATTTTCTTTCATATCACGAACTCTAATGAAAACATGCATCAGAGGCAAGAAATGTGAAGAACCTTGAGTTTGGAGATCTGTCCAAGCATTGGTATACTTGCACAACTTCCACAATAATGTAGATAAAATTCAACAAAAATACTACTAGGTATAAGTTCACTTATAAAGCTTTCGATCCTTAAGGCTCGAAAGTTTTTGTGGTTGAAGCCCTTCCGACACATTCAAATTATTGTCATTACAATCTTTTCTTTCGTATCTAAAACTCCATTGAAAACATTCATCAGAGACAACGAATATCGAGAACATTTAGTTTGGATAATTGTCCACCATTTGTAAAGTTTCACATCTCAATAGTATAGATAAAAACTCAAACAAGTGGTCAACAAAAATATCACTATGTAGAAGTTCACATACAAAGATTTCAATCGTTAAGGCTCGAAAATTTGTGTTATTAAAGTCCCAACAATACATTCAAATTATTGTCATTACAATCTTTTCTTTTAGATCTACAATTCCATTTAAAACATACATTAGAGGCAACAAATTTCAAGAACCTTTAGTTTGAAGAACTATCCAGACATTGGTAAAGTTTCATATCTTCCGCCATAGTGTAGATAAAATCAAACAAGTTGTCAATCAAAATTTTTCAATCGTTAAGGCTCGAAAATTTGTGTTGTTAAAGTCCTTACAACACATTCACATTATTGTTATTATAATCTTTTATTTTAGATTTAGAACTCCATTTAAAACATACATTAGAGGCAACAAATGTCAAGAACCTTTAGTTTGGAGAACTGTCCCAGCATTGGTAAATTTTCACATCTTCTGTAATAATGTAGATAAAACTCAAACAAGTTTTCAACAAAAATACCACTAGGTAGAGGTCACCTATAATGTTTTCAATTCTCAAGGCTTTAAAGTTTTTGTGTGATTGAAGCCCTTCCAACACATTCAAATCAATGTCATTACAATCTTTTCTTTCGTATCTAGAACTCCAACAAAAGTCGAGAACTTTAAGTTTGGAAACTGCTCTAGTATTTGTAAAGTTTCACATCTTACACAATAGAGTAGATAAAACTCAAACAAACTTTCAACAAAAATTCCACTAGGTAAACATTCACCTACATGATGTCTTTTGACAGAGGAAATCAACGTTGGTGATAGAAAATCGTTGACGGAGGAAAAACAGCTGAAGAAAATTTGTTGGAAGAAGAATGAAAACAGGAAGTTTAAGAAAATAACAGAGAGAACGAAAGCTTGGAATTTGACTTTATTGAAAAACACCGTACGAATGCTTCTCAAATTTTACCCGCGCTAGAGACTTGGTGAAGATGTCTCCATGTTGTTCCTCTGTTCGGATGAAGTCAATCTTGACAATCCCTTGATGTGCACACTCTCGGATGTAATGGAACCTAATCTCTATGTGTTTGTTCCAATCATGCAAAACTGGATTTTTGATCAAGGAGATCGTAACTTTGTTGTCCACGTAAAGTATTGGTGGATCGCCTTCTCTTCCAATGAGTTCTTTCATTAACCGCATAAGCCAGATCCCCTGTGTTTTCGTTGTCAAAGCGACGATATACTCTACTTCGCAAGAAGACAAAACAACTTCCTTTTGTTTAGTTGATCGCCAGCAGATCGCGCCGCCTGAGAGGAAGTAAATCATCCCGCTGGTGCTCTTACGACCATCAACGTCACCGGCTATGTCACTATCACTGTAGCTGACCAACTCAAGCTTTTTCTTTCCTCTCCCTGCAAAGTATTTCACACCCTAGCCTCTAGTTCCAGCCACATAGCGCAGGATGCGCTTGACAGCCACAAGATGCTTCTCCTTAAGTGCTTCCATAAACCTACTCACGTATCCAACAGAATAAGCGAGGTCAGGGTGCGTGTTTACCAGATAACGCAGGCTCCTGACAATGTTGCGGTAACTGGTGGCATCGACTGCCGTCGTAGTGCCGGCTTCCTTAGATGG